GCGGAACCACTGGCTGTATAGGTACCCTTTCATTTCTCCCTCACAACATACACGTTTCATGCCCCTATGGCTTCCATGATCTGCTGGAGCTTCTTTCCTTGGTTCAGGATGTGGCAGAGAAGGAAGCAGGAGCAGCCATGAGAGGTAGGTTGAGATTGTTTTGCTTCACAGTCCTGTGCAACTCGCCTCCTCCCCTGCAAAATGTGGGCTGATCCTGGCAGTGAGGCAGGGAGAGGAGGAGGCTAGGTCTGAGGGCCAGCCCAGATATTTGGCAGGGTTGGTGGTAGTCAAGCAGCTCAGGCACTGCTGCGCAACCACCCACACCAGTGCCCTGCTGCAAAGGCTTTTGCCTAGGCTATTGCTTTCCAAATGAGCCCTGCACACAGTTGGGTGGCTGGTGCACCCCAGCCCCTGCCCAAGAGATGCTCTGGATGGGGGCCACCCTGCGCTGGACGACAACATGGACATGGACCTTTCTGCATCTCAGTGCTGGGGACCTTCCCTAGTGTGCAGCATTGACTGCTGAAAATTTTGTACCCCCAGCAGGAGCCAGGCCATGTTCCACACTTTCCTCCTGCTGAGCTTGGGCTGGTCCCTTTGCCGTGTCAGGGAGCTGGACCTCATCCCTGCTCCTCGTGGATGCAGCCCACAGGCTGCTTCGACCTGGCACAGCCTCAGCATCCCCAGGCCTGGCCTGTACCAGCTCCCCCAGCGATCTTGGCACAGCATCCGCCCTGGAGAGGGTGGGATACAGCAGCAAAGCAGATTTGGAAGGGCCTCTGCCTACTCTGGGCAGGGTGGGTCCAGGCAGGGCTCCAGCCTGCAGCAGGAAGCCTTTTTTTCTGTGCGAGCCACCAAAGAGCCCGAGCCCTGGAGGAAGTGCCCTGGCCCCGCGGTGGGACAGGGAGGTGCCGACACTGGGACTGCTCTCATGGTCCCTTCCTGTTTTTCTTCTCCACAGCTTGAAGGCAAAGTTGACTTTGGCATCTGGAGCCCTCTCCTTTATCCCAGATTGCTGTTCACCCCAGCCATCCCCTTGCATCTTCACTGGTCCAGCAGAAAGCCCTGTTTGCCCGTGTCCAGTGCCAGAGCATCCTCCCCTCGGGCAGCTGGGAGTGCAGCACCCAGCACCAAGCATCTTAACTCCCCTTCAAGCACTGAACTTGCTGCTTCCTTGGCATTGCCCGTGCCCATGTGTCACATTTGCAGGCTGCTGGGGCAGTGAGCTGAGCCATGGGGCATCCCAGCAGGCAGCCACAGTGCAGGCAGGCAGGGCTTTGCGGTGGCATGCAGACTTCATGCCTGCTCTTGCTATCTTCACCTGCCAAATGGGTGGCAGCTCTGTCTCTAAAGCTTCCATCAGAGAAGAGAGGGGTCACGCTCTAGGGCCACAGGCAGCAGGATGCAGCGATGAAGACCAGAAGTCCGTGTCCTGCACTCAAGCTGCCCTGGTTTGCCTGGCCAGGCAAGCCTGAGCTAAGGAAGGGGACACAGGGCTTGCCACATGGGGACAGCACAGCTATGGGTCCACTCCGCCTGTCATTTCTCATCTACCCACCTGAGCTTGCCTGCACAATGCAGGCACATGTTCCCTTCTGGTTGTGTGAGGCTCCAGTGGTCTCTGTTCTGCGCCCCCGCCCCCCCGCCAGCAGCAACCCCCTTCTATTTGGAGCATGCTTGGACTTTCTGGAATTTAAAAGCAGGCATGATATGCGGGCCAAAGCCACCAGCTCACTCTCTCCACCATTTTCTGGCCATTGTGCTCCTGCATCTCGAGGAGGCATCAGCCTCTAAACCAGCACCAGGAAACCACTGATCTCTGTTGGCAAGCGCTGGAGCCACAGCTGTGGGCTGTGTTCACCTGTGTTCAACAGCATCCCATGGACAAACACAGCCCTGATCCCCTCCATAGTGGCAGCAGAGTGGGATCTGGTGGTGTTAAGAGCAGGTTTCCAAGTGGAAAGGGCTGTGCACGCCATGCTGGGGACCGAGGGGAGACAAGGGTGACCGTGACACATCAGAAAGGGTGCTGGCTGGGTTGGATGCTGGGGACCGGAGTCCAGCAGGTGATGGCAGCGTGACACACCTGGAGCTGGCAAGTTCCAGGATGCATGTGGGAGAAGGGATGTGGTTGTTGCGCTCAGAAGCCCAGGCAGGATCTGGCCCCTTATACCTCCCTGGTGACCTGCCTTACTTGCTCCATGGAGAGCCCTGCTCTTCTCCAAAGACAGTACCCCCCCAGCAGCATACCGTAGATGGTGGGCTGACCCCCATCTCCCCCATCCCAAGTGAGTGTGCTCATCAGGGACAACAAGGGGCTGGGACCCCGCAAAGCCAAGCACCGGCATGGGCAGCCCCTATGCCCCCACACTCAGGCTGGGAGTGCAGGGACACCCAGCAAGGGCAGGGGGGTCCGTGGGCACACAAGCTATTGCAAAAGGCGCAGCCCTGCCCCAGTCACCTCCAACTCAGTCCCTGCAAAGACCATTTTGGGAGATCCCCTCTCCTCCAGGCTCACTTCACACCCCAGGTTAAAGGGCAGCCCCGGGGTCCAGCCGGGAGTGA